TGACACACGACACTCGACGCCCGACTGGTCGACGTCCTGAGTCGAGGTCGACGTCGGCCCCTCCTTCGTCAACCACCGGGTCCAGTCGACCACCCGCAGGTCGACCAGCACATCAGCCGACCACCGAAGTCGGCTTCCCAAGTCGGCGTCCTCCACAGGTCGACTCCTAAGTCGACCTCCCCAAAGTTGGCACCACCCTGAAGTTGGCGCCCGTGCAGTGGTCCCCGTGCAGGTCGACCTCCCCGTCAACCAGCTCGCCCACTACCGCAGGTTAGCTGCTCCCTAACACCCGACCACGATGTCGACTCCGCCCAAGCGTGGACGGGGCCAACATACAACTCCCGTTGACACTCCCCTGCCGCGTTCACGCTTGATCCCCCTCAAGTCCACTCGGCAGTACTCCTCGGAGAATAGCTCGTTGACGTGCACCCAACACACCGCACGTCGTCCACCGCACCAGCCATGCAAGAGGGCATGGCACCTACTGCTGCACGTCATTATCGCCGTCGCCCACGGCGGCCAAGCGCACCTGGCCGATTGCGACGGAGCACCTGTTGAAGGCCGGATAGTGCAGCGCCTTCGTCAGGAAGTCGGCCGGCTGCTCAGTGGTCGGGATGTACCTCAGCGAGAACTTCCCGTGCTTCACCATGTGTTGCAGCCATGCCTGTCGCCGTTCCATGTGCTTGAGGTTGCCCGTCAACCCCATGTTCTTGGCAACTGTGATAGCCGACTTGTTGTCCACCCGAAGGACAGTCGGCTTCCCGGCATCCAGCTGCCGGAACTCTGCAAGGAGGAAGCGAAGTCGGCGTCCTTCCTTGCCGGCTTCGGTGGCTGCCACGTACTCCGACTCAGTCGACGACAACGTCGCACACTTGATGCGCTGGCTCGACCAGGAGACAGCGGCCCCTCCATAGACGAACACGTAGCCACTTGTGCTCGTCCTGTTCTGCTTGTCACCGGCGTCGTCGGCGTCCACGTAGCCGACCAGCTCCAACGACTCAGATCCACTGCCAAACTCCAGGGCGGTGTCGCGCGTATTGGCGAGGTAGGCGAGGCAGCGGTCGACCTCGCGCCATTGCTGGTCGCTCCTCACCGTGAGGCCGCTCCCCAGCTTGCTGCAGACGAAGGCAATGTCTGGCCTCGTCGTCGTCACCGCGAACTGCAGCGAGCCGGCCTTCTGCCGGTACTCCTCCTCCTGTCGCTCCTGTGCCTCCTCGTCATCGAAAGTGAGCTCGGCGTAGGCATCGACCGAGACTGGAGAGCGAGGTGCCACCAGTGGTGCTGCACGCCCATGTGCAGCAGCATCGTCCGCACCGACTCCACCACCGTCCTCATCTCCCGCTCCGCCATGCCGTTCTGCTGCGGGGTGTATGGGCAGGTCAGGTCGTGGACGATCCCCTTGCCGTTCACGAAGTCGGTGAACTGCTTCCCGAGGAACTTCCCTCCCCGGTTAGAGCGCAGCATCAACACCGACTTCTTCGTCTGCCACTCAGCCACCGTCAGCCACTGCACGAACACCGGCAATGCGTCTGACTTCTTGGTGATCGGCTTCACCCACACGTAGCGGGTCTTGCGGTCCTTCTGCAACAAGAAGTACAGGCTGCCATCCTTGGCAGCCACGCGGAACGGCCCTCACAGGTCGATGTGCACGACGGCCAGCACGTCGTCGGCGTCGGAGCCTTGGTCGAGAAAGGTGTGCCGCGCCAGCTTCCCGCCGACGCATGAGACACACTGGGAGTCGGCGCCCGTAGCCGACTTGAGGTCCAGCCCAATGGCGACCTCGTTCTTCGCCGAGCTCCGTATAGTGTCCATGCCGACATGTTCAAGCCGCGCGCGCATCCGGTCCGGCGTCGACTTTGTCTTCGAGACGATCGCCCGCAGGGCCACAACCTCCGTCGTGGTCGACGTTGACCTTGCTGAGCAGGGACGCAGGTCGGTGCAGAGGACACGCCCGGAGTACGTCGCCCGGCCGAGCACCTCTCCTGTTGCCGAGACGAGCTGCATCCCGTCGCCGTCCTCTTGCAGCTTCACGCCGTGCTCCTTCAGCTGGCCGGACGACAGCAAGTTCGCCCGCACATCCGGGACGTACAGCACGTCGGGGATGAGCACCTGCTTCCCGGCCTCCCCTTGCAGAGCGACGGTGCCGCGGCCGTGGACATCCTGCAGCGCCCCATTGAAGCCGCGCACATCCCTGATGGCGCCACTCGGCTGCAGGTTGACGAAGGCTTCCTTCGTCCCCATCAGGTGGTGGGAGCAACCGCTGTCGAGCAGGACCACCGCCGGGTTCGCCTGCACAGCTGCCGCCACCGCCTGGAAGTCCTCTCCGGCCTCCGGCGCCAGAGAGACGGCCGGCTCCACGACGCCGACCAGCGAGCACGACGCCGTCTTGTCGTCCCGCGCCTTGCCACCAGCAGGGGAGTCGGCGTCCTTCGCCGAAGTCGGCGTCTTGGACGACTGCTTCTCCTTGCGCGCCCGATTTCCTCCTCGACGAGGACGACGACTGTCAGACCTCCCGCGGCCTCCCTTGGCGTCGTCGTCATCAGAGTCACTGCGGTCGGGGCACTCGAAGGAGAGGTGGTCGGGGTCGCCGCACAACCAGCACTCCCGTCGTCGACCTCCTCCTCCTCGACCGCTGTTCTTGGTCGACTTCTTCTTGTCAACCTCCTTGACCGACTTCCAGCCACCGCTTCCGCCGCCACCAGACTGTCCGCGCTCTCCTGGTTGGCCTCCTTGCTTCGCCGGGGCGACGAATTGGGCCTGCGCCAAGAGTTCCTGTGACCGCTCAGCGTCCTGCATCGCCTCGTCCTGCAGTATGTATGAGGTCAGATTGTCCTCGTTGAGCGTCGCCCTTGTGCTCGGCGCCATGGACAGCCGCTTCAGAAGGTTATAGCTGCTAGAAAGTCCCTGCATGACATGGGTGATGTACGACGCCGTAGAGTACTGCGCGCCGGCCATCCTGATGGTGGCGAGAATTCGCCGGGCTCGGTTGTTGTAGTCAGTCGCTGTCTCCTCGTCACCCATACGCAAGTGCGTCAGCAGTCCCTCGAGCTGGGCGATGAACAGGTCGTCGGTGACCTGGTACGTCGACTCGATGAAGTGCCACGCCCGGTGGCCGGCGTCGATGTACTCCCGGCACCACTTTAAGGCGATCTGCACGCCCGGCGAGCAGCACCGCGAGATGACCGTGAAGGTCAGCAGCTGCACGGCGCGGAACTCCGCCCGCAAGTCGGGGTGGTGCTCTCCAGGCGTCGCCACGGTCCCTCGAGCGAAGCCGATCAGCCCGGCCATCTCCAGCTGGGGCTCGATAGCTTCCTTCCAGGTGAGAATGTCGGGTCGACCGACCAGTGGGGGGGTGACTGAGATCCTGTCCGGCGTGAACTTGAAGTAGCCGTAGGTCGGCGCAATCCCACCTGCCGTCACCTGAGACGCCGACATCGGCGACAGCCCACTCCGTCGACCACCAACGTCACCCTGCGAAGAGCCTGCAGCCGCCGATGTCTGCATCCCTCGCGCCTGAACGCCGCCGACTTCACCGGCGTGTATCACACCTCTCTGCCTCGACGTGCCTCCAGCACTGCTGCCGACTTGACCACCACCGGCGTTGACGCCCACGTCGATGCCGCCTTCGTTGTTCACCGGACGAGGAGAGGTAGGTCGAGACGGATGCTCCGTCGCCCACGTGGAGCGGAGTCCAGCCTCAACGACCGCCCAAGGCAAGTCGCCATACTCGTTGGCCTCGTGCTTCTCCTCGCGTTCTCCAACCGTGCCTCCAGGGTGTCCGCCACCCCCGCGTCACCTACGGCTCCTACCATAGTGACTACCGCACAGTTGCCGGCCTGTAACTACGAAATAGGTAAGTGGTATCTACGTCGACCTGACTGAAAGGTAAGTCGTGTGCCGTCCACGCTCACAGCACCATGCGGAGATAACTACTACAACGGAAGCTAGACTACTGGTTAGGCACGTGTGCTCGTGTGATCTCTGCGTTCGTTGGTCCTTAGGCGTTTTCCTAGTGCTCACACTGCTTGCTAGTTCACGGGGCAATTTGGCAAGAGTTTCACTAAGAAAAGATGACAACAATGATACAATGAAGTTGGCAATGCAAGACTACATCAGAGCTAGCATTCAGGTTGGTAGATTGCCAGCACAGCATGGTCGACCGCGTTCCAGCACGACTTGGTCGACCGCGCTCCAGCAGTGCAAAGTCGACAGCTTGCCAACGCTTCAGGTCGACGGTATGCCAGCAGTGCACCCGCTTTGAAGGTGCGTGCAGATGATTGGTATGCCGAGCCTCATCACCTGCACAGCACACACACACCACGTCAGCCTCGGGCTGACGGCTGCCTCTGATCTGCCACGACGACCCCGGGATACCATAACCGAGGTCGGTCTCGCCAACTTCGCCTGGGCGACCGTCGCACTCCTCCACAGCACTTCTTCACCCAGGTAACCTGGTCGACCGGGCAACCTCATCGACCAACAACTCCCTTACGTGCCCGTCGACCTCCCAAGTCGACGACCACCTCGTTGTCGACCTCACCGGGTCGACCATGCCCCTCGGTCGACGATCGCGTCACTCGACGCCCGACAGGTCGACGTCCTGAGTCGAGGTCAACGTCGGCCCCTCCTTCGTCGACCACCGGGTCCAGTCGACCACCCGCAGGTCGACCAGCACATCAGCCGACCACCGAAGTCGGCTTCCCAAGTCGACGTCCTCCGCAGGTCGACTCCTAAGTCGACCTCCCCAAAGTTGGCGCCACCCTGAAGTCGGCGCCCGTGCAGTGGTCCCCGTGCAAGTCGACCTCCCCGTCAACCAGCTCCCCCACTCCTACAGGTCGGCTGCTCCCTAACACCCGACCACCATGTCGACTCCGCCCAAGCGTGGACGGAGCCAACATACAACTCCCGTTGACACCAGCAAGGACAGCACCAGTACCCCCAGCGCCAGCACCAGCGCCAGCAGAACCTCCAGCTCCAACAGCGCCAACTCCAGTACCCTCTCAAGCACCAGCACCAGCAGCACCGCCAGCGCCAACACCCCGAGTAGCTCCAGCTCCAGCAGCACCAACTCCAGTAGAACCGTCAGCACCTGCAGCCTCAAAAGCACCCCTAGACGCACCAGCACCAGTAGAAACACCAGCAGCGCCAACACCCCTAGCAGCTCCACCTCCAGCAGCACTAGCACCGACAACAGCTCCAGTAGAGCCAACTCCAGTAGCTCCAGCAGCACCCCCAGGCTCAGCAGCACGTCTCCAGCGGCGGGCGAACCACTCTCGCAGCACCTGTGGAGAGAGCGGCTCCCGCCTCGAGGAAGCACCGCCGGCGGCCACACAAGCAGACCCAGCACCGCCAGGCTCCGCACCCCCAGACTCAGCACCCCCACGCTCAGCACCCCTAGACTCAGCACCCCCAGGCTCAGCAACCCAAGTCTCAGCACCCCCAGACCTAGCACCCTCAGACCCGGCACTCGCAGGCTCAGCACCTCTAGCAGCACCATAGTCAACAGCTACCTCGACACGCTCGACTGCGTCTACCTGGGACACACCTGACGGGGCAGGACCCTGAGGAGGGAGGGGGTCTACCTGGGGAGGACCTGGCGCAAGGAAGAGCGGCGGCTGGGGGGGGGGGGGGGCGCACTCCGGTAGGGGAAGAGACGGTAGTAAGGCACCGACTCGTCAAAGGTGACGCCCTGAGAGGACAGAACACGGCGCGAGGTGGGGTGGTAAAACTGCCACCCAGGCGCGTCGGGGGGGAAGCCAAGGAAGACGCAAGGAACAGCACGGGGGGACAGCTTGTCCCCAAACAAGTCGCGGACAAACGCCCGAGATCCCTAGACCCGAAACGCAGACGCATCGCCAACCTCCCCGGTCCATCGCAAGGCGGGGGAGGTCTCTGGCAAGGAGACCCGGGGCTGAAGGTTGAGCTGATGCGCGGCGTACTGAACCGCAAACGGCCACAGAAAATGGGGGGCAGCCGCATGCATCATGGACGTATGAGCGACGTCCATGACCATGCCAATGCGGCGCTCAGCAATCCCATTTTGCTGTGGAGAGGCCGGAAGCGTGAAGGTCTGGCGGATTCCCTGTGCACGACAGAAGGTTCCCAGACGGGCAGCGGAAAACTCCCCGCCTCTGTCCGAGTGCAGACGTAGAACAGGAAAGTCCGAGCCGAAACTCTCTTTGAGCAGGAGACGAGCTGCGCGGATCGAGTCGATCAACACCTCAGTGACGTCACTCTTGCTGCGCAAGGGGAAGACTGTGGTGTAACGCGAATAGTCGTTAACGACCAGCAGAAAGTACCGCTCGTGCCCCTGCCCACTGACGCGGGCTGGGCCCCACACGTCCTTGTGTAGCGTCTGCAGCGGAGCCTCTGTCGGAGGAAACTCGGAGGAGTGAGGGGCGGCGCGCTGTCGCCCCTTGACGTAGGGGACGCAGGTAGGGCCAGGCCCTAGAGGAAGGGGAGGGAGAGACCGAGGGAGACCAGAGACAAGGACACGAGAGGCCATGCCTCGGAGACGAAGCAGGGAGGGGTGACCAAGGCGGTGGTGCCAAAGGAGAGTCTGGTGGGACAGCAGACGACACGAGCAGGGGGTAGACTCAGGACCAGACCTGGACGCCGCAGCAAACACCTGACTCGACGCAGCTACCTGGGCAGGCTCACAATAAGGGTGTACAGGCTCGACCAAGGCCGACGGGTGAACGTGGCCAAGTGTCGGCCTGTCCGAGCACACGTGCAGTGGGTCACTCGCTGACTCGCAGGAGTGAACTGATCAACCCCTCGATCCTGTAGGTCCGCTCCACTCACCAAGTTCATAGAGAACGAGGGGAGGTAGAGACCAGACAGGGTGCCAGAGGGGGCTGCAGGGCACGGAAGGACAGTGGAGAAGCTAGCAAGGACAGGACCCCCAGAGGGATCTGCCAAGGAGACTGCAACCGGCCGACTAAGTGGCGTAAGAGTGGTGCTGTCTCGAAAGAAGGAGCGGGACGCACCCGAGTCCAGGGTGAAGGTGTGGAAGGCCTGAGCCGACGTAGTACCTGAGAGAGCAGACTCACCAGCACCTGGGGCGGCAGACGCACTGGCACCTAGAGCAGCAGCCTCACCAGCACCTAGAGCAGCAGCCTCAATGCCCGGGTCAGGCGGTACACACAGGTAACAGGCACCCTCAACACTATCAGCAACAGCATACATGGCAGCAAGAATATCATCAAAGTTAAGATCAAAGATTGCAACCCCGGCCTTAGCCAGATCTCCCCAGCGAGGGATCTCTGACGCCTCAAGGAATTGGCGACGCCAGGCGTCTGTCAGGCGACCAAAGCAGCGCTGGGTGGAGTGCGGGCCTCCGCACTGCTCACCAGTGCGGTCGCCGGTACAGAGGACGTAAGAGTAGGGACCAAAACCCCCACCACGTTGGCGCGCAGTGTACCACTCACGAAGCTGCTGAGGGGACAGGGTCACTCCAGTCCGCTGCTGCTCCTGGCGCTGACCACCACCGGCGCCACTCCTCTGCGCAGAGTCGTGATTCGCTCCACCACCGCCGCCGCCGCCGCCTCCGCGGCCTCCTCCACCTCCGCCTCCTCCACTACCTCCGCCGCCTCCGCTCCCTTCGCCACCTCCACTGCCTCCGCCGCCTCGACTGCTGCCGCCGCCGCCGCCACCCCCAGCACCACTCCCACCACCACCCCCACTCCCTCCACTGCCTCCATCACCACCTCCACCGCCCCCGCCAGCCCCTCCAGTGCCCTTGCCCCCCTTGCCCTTGCCAGTGCGGCGTCTCCCGCTCGGGGTAGATGCAGCGCCGACCGACTCAAAACCAACGAGGTCGGCCGCAGCAGCAGAGGCAACAGAGGGCAAGAGGGGGGAGGGAGAACACCCCTCAAAGACGGGGGTGCGAGGGTCACCACGAGAGGCTCCTACAGCGACTATGCTCTTCTCTATCGCTAGGAGGGCCTTCTCGAGGAGGTCAACGGCGAGAGTGGTGGGGCAAACAGAGAGGAAGTGGCCCCTGACTACCCGAAGAGAGTCAGGGAGCCGGGTGACTATGTAGTAGAAGGTGATGTACATGGGGGGGGGGTTCTTGGTGCAGAACTCACCAGGAAGTGCAGCGCGGTAGCGAGTGTCACTAGTGCGGAGGTGCGTAATGAGGTCAGCGACTGTGGGAAAGGCAGCAAGGTCAGGGAAGAGGTGCGGTAGCATGAGGCGGCTCAGTGCAGCAGTGGCAGGGGAAGAGTAGCGTGCAACTACAGCGTCGTACAAGGTCTGAGCACTCTTGTACTGGCTAAAGTGTGCACGCTCAGTGGTCTGTTGCACGACGGCGCACAGCAAGGCGAGTTGCAGCATCACGTGTGGCCCACTGTGAGCGAACAGTGGCGTCAGCATCAGCAGCAGGGGCAGGGCACACTATAATGTTCTGACACCCGGGCCAATTCTTCTTTGTTTCGTCGCAAGCATCGGCTTGAACAGAAAAACTAGAGGGCTTTTTCAAGCCTTCTGCGCTGGGAATGGTCATCCTACACTCCCTAAACTATTGGGTGATTGATGGCGGAGCCACCTATAGCATGACACCTCGCGAACTTGCTCACCAAACTTGAACCGTCGCTGATGAATCATGTCACTCCAGCATTGGGCCAACGAGCATATGTGAAAGGCATGGGCAAGGCCATGTTCAAGGGTTCTAATGGGAAGATGGTGGGCCTCAAGAACGTTTGGTGCCCAACCTTAATGCCAGCCTGATTTCCGTGCGGTGGTTACAAAAGGCCGGAATGGACACGAGCTCGAAGGGAGCCAAGATCTACTCCGAGAGGCTTGGCGAGTAGATTCTTTGGGACCTTCACGAAAACAAGGATGTCTACAACGAGATGTGGCAGATCCCTGTGGTCCCAATGCCTTAGGAGAGGCAAGTGGCAGCAAGCATCAGCACCAAGGGTGAAGCGATTGCTAGTGGTGACGGCGCCAACGATGGTGCCAAAGAGAATGAGTCCAAGGAGTGCAATCTTGGAGGGACCAGCAAGCAATATGAGAATATGGAGAGTGGTGCTGCAGCTATGGAGCAAAAGGCTGAGGTGAACCCCAAGGCAATAGCGGAGGAGGAGTACAGAGAGAGCATGTGGGGCACTACTGCAAGTGCGGAATTCTCCAATCCGACTGCCGCTACGGGGGAGCGTGATTGGCTGACCTTGCATCAGCAAGTGGGGCATGTGGCTCTGCCCATTTTGCAATAGCTGGTGAAGGAAGGGATGGTTGCTAGCATACGTGTGAAGGGGGAGCCCACGAAAGTACTTGGCTGCCCGACATGCATGCAAGCCAAGTTCATCCGTTTCTGTTCTCTGGTTCAAAGGCAACGGCTAAGGCACTCTTGATGAGGTGGAGATGGATGTGGTGTACGTCAGCCCATCCTTCCACGTCAGCCTCCTCCGCCCCTACGTCCCATCAATGAGCCAACTACCACGCGGCTGCCCGTCCATCATAACGCAACCTCCCACAGAGCCCGTCATCACCCCCGGAAAGATATTGAGCCACCGAGTTCGAGACCCACGTTGAGCCCGCGGGATCGAGTTCCTGATTTGATGGAAAGACCGCACCCCAACGGAAGACAACTGGGTGCCTCTGGATAAAGCTGAAAACCATTTCGTCTTCGCCGAGTGTTTGCGCAGCCGCAATTTTCGGGATTTACACACACTTTTATAAGGGGAGCGTCCTTGGGGAGGGAGTTAGTGTAAGGAATATTACTTTTCCTTAATTCACGCCCCTGCTTACCGCGTACATGATTGTTCCCGCCAGCAGCACCCTACAGTAAACGTTACACGCTTGCGACACTCACCTCGACCACTGTTCCCACCACTGTACACATCGCGACCCAACCTCACAGTTCGGTTAATAACCCGCGCTCCGGTCCTTCGCCTCGACATTTCCCAACCTCGGCGCCAAGCCCGTCGCACACCCCACAACCAGCACGTTACCGCTGCCACGCTAGGCTTCGCTTTATAATGGTCGCTAATTCCATCGCTCATTATACTTTCGCATATATATTGCAATCTTCGTCCGCCCATTCAATTGCACTCGTAACACATGTGCGCTCGTTGCATAATGGCGTAGCTCTTAGTTTAGCATTTTGTAAGGAAAAAACATCTTCCTTTCTTCGCGCCCCTGCTTACCGCGTATATGACTGTTCCTGCCACTATCACCTGATAGTAAAACGTTACCCGCTCGCGACACTCGCCTCGACTACTGTTCCCGCCACTGTACACCTCACGACCCTACCTCATGGTTCGGCTGGTAATCTGCGCTCTGGTCCTTCACCTTGACAAATGAACAAAAGGAGAGGTTTCACTAGCAGCAGTTGGGATACATATAGCAAACCCTAACAGGGTTGTACTCGCTTTAGAGCACCCCACTACAAGCTAGTTAATAACATTTTGACACACCCCCATAGCCAAAGTGGGGTGTAATCAGCAGAGCACACAGTCATAGAGCAGGTTCACAATGCAAGCAAAGCTAGAGGCTATCAAAGAGGGCAAGTGAGGAGGAGGAGAGTACTGTGGACGGAGAGAAGATGGGAGGCAACGACTGAAGCTACAGAGGCACGGGCATAGGAGCGGCTGACTCAGTGGCTACCGAAGCAAGGGTGACGGACTACTGGAGTGACTGGCTCCGCGGCTATAGACGAGCGGTAGGAGCAACGGACCCACTAGCAACTGGTGCAACAGGCTCACTGGCTACCGAAGCAAGGGCGACGGACTACAGGCGCTGCATGCGACACGACAGCTACCTCGACACAACCTCCTCCAACTGACCCACACCCTTGACACACACCCTCTGCTGAACCCCTAACTCCACTCCCACGTCACCCCCCTAGCACTACTCCTTCGGCTCCCACACACCCACCCCCCCTGAGCGGCAGCTGCAGCAGCGGGAGACGGAGGAGGAGGAGGAGCAGGGGACGGCGCACACAACCAGCACCCCCACAACCGTCACCCCCACACTCCCCACCCCCAAACCCTAAAACGGGTGGCACGGGGTAGGAGCGCGGGGGACGGCGAGGGGGACGGCGCGTGGCCCCCAGGGCGCCACCACGGGGCAGCGAGGGGCCGCGCGCGGCTCTAGGGGTGGCGCGCAGCCCCCAGGGCGCCACCACAGGGCAGCGAGGGGCCGCGCGCTGCTCCAGGGGTGGCGCGCGGCCCCCAGGGCGCCACCACGGGGCATCCAGGGGCCGCGCGCGGCTCCCCAAGGCGCCGCGACGTAAGGGGCGGGGGGCGCGCGTGCTCCCCAGAGCGCCGCGACGAGCAGGGCGGGGGCCGCGCGTGCTCCCCAGGGCGCCGCGACGAGCAGGGCGGGGGCCGCGCGCGGGTCCCCAAGGAAGGAAACCGCTGCGCGCCTCGGGGCGCACGGCGGGTAGAAAACCGCCGCGCGCCCCGAGTGCACGGCGGAAAGAAAAACCGAAAAAAAAAATCGCCCCGCGCGCTCCGCGCGCGGCAGGAAGGAGGAGTCGCACCCCACGGGGCGTGCAACAGACAGAGTAGCAACGGAAGCAGTTAGGTGGGTCCACAGGCCAGGAGCGTAGATGCTCTGATAGAATGTTAGAATCGTAGGTAGAGTGAGGAGCCATAGCTAGGGTTTAGCTAGCTAGGCAAGAGAGAAAAGAACAAAAGGGGGATTTCACTAGCAGCAGTTGGGATACATATAGCAAACCCTAACAGGGTTGTACTCGCTATAGAGCACCCCATTACAGGCTAGATAATAACATTCTGACAGTAGTCATAGAGCAGGTTCACAAATGCAAGCAAAGCTAGGGGCTATCACAAAGGGCAAGAGAGGAGGAGGAGGAACTGTGGAAGGAGAGAAGATGGGAGGCAACGACTGAAGCTGCAGAGGCACGGGCACAGGAGCGGCTGACTGAGTGGCTACCGAAGCAAGGGCGACGGACTACTGGAGTGACTGGCTCCGCAGCTAAGACGAGCGGCAGGAGCAACGGACCCACTGGCGACTGGTGCAACAGGCTCACTAGCTACCGAAGAAAGGGCGACGGACTACAAGTGCTGCAGGCGACACGACAGCTACCTCGACACAACCTCCTCCAACTGACCCACACCCTTCACACACACCCTCTGCTGAACCCCTAACTCCACTCCCACGTCATCCCCCTAGCACCACTCCTTCGGCTCCCACATACCCACCCCCCTGACCGGCAGCTGCAGCAGCGGGAGACGGAGGAGGAGGAGGAGGAGTAGTGGAACGGCGCACAGAAACTGCACCCCCATACCCCCCACCCCTAAACCCTAATTCAGGAGAACGGGCAGCAGCAGGGGTGGGGCACTGTCAGAAGCACGGGGGACAGCGAGCAGCTCAGGGACAGAGAGGAACGGGCCGCCCACAGGCCTGGCACAGCCCGACGAACCGCGCGCACGCGGCCCGAGCCGCGCGCGGGCCTGGCGCAGCCCGTACGGGCCGCGCACGGGCCTGGCGCACCCCGTACGGGCCGCGCTCGGGCCGGGCGCAGCCCATACGGGCTGCGCTCGGGGCTAGCGCAGCCCACGCTGGCCATGACGGGCGACGGGGGACGACGGGCTGGTCCCCGTCGCCCGTCGAAGCGCCCCCCAGGGGCGACGCGCGGACCAACGGGGTAGAAGGCCGCCGCGTGCTTCGGGGCGCACGGCGGGCAGAGAACCGCCGCACGCCCCGGGGCGCACGGCGCGCAGAAAACCGCCGCACACTCCGAGCGCGCGGCGGGAAGAAAAATCCGTCGCACGCCACGGGGCGTGCAACACACAGAGTAGTAGCGGAAGCAGTTAGGTGGGCCCACAGGCCAGGAGCGTAGATGCTCTGATAGCATGTGAGAATCATAAGCATAGTGAGGAGCCATAGCTAGGGTTTAGCTAGCTAGGCAAGAGAATTGAACAAAAGGAGAGGTTTCACTAGCAGCAGTTGGGATACATATAGCAAACCCTAACAGGGTTGTACTCGCTATAGAGCACCCCACTACAGGCTTGATAATAACATTCTGACAGACATTTCCCAACCTCGGCGCTAGGCCCGCAGCGCACCCCAATTGTCAGAACATTATAGCTTACTTGTTTGTGTAGGCTATAGTGGGGTATCCCATAGGGGGTACAACCCAGTTAGGGTTTCCTATTTGTACTCACTTCGTTCATAGTCATTTCATTCTCTTGTTCACTTCTTGTCATGGAATCAGAGCAGGTTCCCCTGTTGGAACTGTGCTTCGGGCCCACCACCTAGAACTTTTTTCTGCCCTGGCGCCCGCCCTAGCGCCCGCCCTAGCGCCCGCCCTAGCGCCCGCCCTTTCGAGCCGCCCGTTAGCGCCACCTGTTAGCGCCGCCTGTTAG